TAAGCTATATATAATATAGAGAGGATTAGAAGCAGTAGACTTGTTTAGCCTAGACAGTGAACTATGAGAGAAAAGTATTGTTGTATAAACAGTAAGAACAACTTGTGCAAAACCAAATGCCATTAAAATTCTTCATTGTGGTTATTTTGTTCCCACCACAGGGTTTAGGAACAGCTTTTTAGTCTGAGCAATTGATGCAAAAACATTGAGACACCTCCGATATGGCACAGTACCCTTACTGAAGGGATTATTGTTGCCTGTCATAGCAAAAAGCCGAAAATCGCCCAGTGAAGTCTTGGCTATTCCTAAAATTAACAGCTTCCCGAGGTAGAGAGGAGGAGGAAACAGCAAGTTGTAGGTTGGAATTTGGAAAGAAGTTGGAAGTTCTGTGCTATTGGGTTCAGAATTCCTACAGCAAAGACCAAAATTACTGTCACATCAATGTTACCAGCATCTGCTGCAGGGGGAGGAATACTGGTTAGTCAAGAAGCAAGTTAAAAACTCCAGTGTAAGCTTTTTTTTTTTTTTTAAAGGAAAAAATACGGATGTTTTTCTTATTTTAAAAGCAAATTGAAAACTCCAGTGCAATCTTTTCTTTTATATGGATCTTTATATTACCTTAATGGTACAAGCAGTGAACAGTGGCTAGTGCAGTAATGTCTAGCGTAATGCTGTAGCTGTAAACTGCAGGGCAGATACTACACCTAGTCTTCAGACTGAGGGGGTCATTACCCAGTTCTTTACGAAGACTCATACGTCTTTTCTCTATATATATTTCTCTTCCACCCTTATGTCCTATATTCGCATATGTAAATTTACATGAGTATTCATCTACCTGTATATTAATATTTAGCTTGGGAATAGATTCTGTAAGCGAGGCAGCAGAATAACTCTTTGAAGATGTAAGCAATGGTTAGATTATCTGGGTAAACCTGCTTAGCCATTTAACCTGTGAGGCAAGGAGTAACCTCCGAGGTAGATGCTGTGCTTCTTAAACAGTTCTGCTTTGAAAGTGAAACTGCATATAAATACGTCCCTAAGGGGTTTAAGTGTAGTAGTGCTCCTGATCTCTGATGGCTCGGGGTTCAGGGAACCCTGCAGTGCTGCTCTCTGGTGCAGCGTGCAGATACTGCAGGTTCCTGCTGGCCAGCACAGCAATTTCTGCTTTCCTTGGAGCAGCTCAGTGCAGCCTGACAGCAGAGACCTTTGTAACTCTAAGGATTCAGATAAAGCCACCAAGTTTAAAAAAAAAAAAAAAAAAAATCAGGAAAGGCAAGATTTAACAAAGTAAATTCGGTGTACAGAGCTGCTGGGCTGCATAGAGTCCAGTTGCTTCAAGACCGTGTAGCTGTGTCAGCTTAAGGGAGCTTTCTTGGATTGCATGTTGAGTGCCTAATCTTGTTGCAGTATAGGCTCAGTAAACGCTGAAGCCTTGTCCTCCCTATCCCCATGACATAGCTGTGATACTTCTCTATTCTTGATTTCATCTTTACATGTATTTTCTGTGACAAACTTAATGCTGTTCTCCTAGCGTTTTACTATTTGCTTACCATTTGTGAAATCCTAACGACAATCTGTTTAGTGTCAGGTGTGGGAGAGTGGTTTGCAGTGTTGGTTTTTTCCTTTGTCCTTGGTGAACTCTTTGTGTGAGAGGCTGTCTCTCTGTTACACTTGTATTCAGAGCTGGAGGGCTTCATCCTGTATATTATTACAAAGCTACAACTAATAATGCAGGGTGCTCCGTTGAGGCATAAAGAACTTTTGAGGAAGAAATGAGCCTGCTTATGGTTTTCTGTGAGTGCTCAATTCTAGACACACCCTTGTCTTCAGCTTTCCAGCTGTCTTGACTTAGGAACTGGACCTATGTAAACTGCAAAAGATAAATATGTTGCTTCGCACTGTACCCTTTTCTGTATGTTTGTGACGTGTAAAGATAGCTGCAGAGATGAAGAAATCTTCCAGGAAGGTTATCCTGACTATATATAGTTTGCACATGAGAGTACGTTAGATAATGGCTGTTTACTTCCTTAGCGCTTTGAATCCAAGAATATTCCCCCTAAGCAAATTGGAAAACTTACTTTATATGCTCCCCACAGAGAGCCCTGGCAGAGTTCAGCTGCTGTCCTCTACCAAGTGTGCGCTGCATCTTTTTGTGTTGCTGCCAGTATATAGGGTTTTGGAGGGAGAATCCTTGGTTGTGTAATTGCAAAGCTAGCTATTATGGCAGCTTGCCCTGGCATGCTTGGTGTCTCCACACTGTGGGATAACCTTGTGGTACTGAAGAAATGTTTTCTGAAGCGCTGAGGCAGGGAGGAAGTGAAATTTCTCTCTGTAGTTATCCTAGGTATTCCTGATGTCCTGGTGCTTTTCCTGAGCGGAGATTTTTGACAGCTAAGAAAGTTTACCAACACTTTTGAGGTTGGTGTCTTTCATGCCTTGTAAAGCTCTTTGTTATTCAGATACCTTGCTCAGGTTATTTGACTTTTCTAAGCTGGTATCCAGTACCTATCTGAAGTGCCCAAGCTGTTTTGGAACACTGTCACAACACTTCATAGTGACAGTGTGTTGAATTCTTGTAGGCTAAGGCCATACTTACGTGGTTTGTGTCTACATAGACACTTTCTGCTTTTTAACTGTAGAGTTTTGTGCAGAAACCTGTGTTTGCATAGTCTACAAGAGAGTCTGGGACATCCAGAAAACAGGGTTCACCGAGGCTCTGAGGTTCAGTGCAGTAGCCAGCCTGTCCCATGGGCTTATGTCTGTGTCACTCAGATGCAGCTATACTGGTTGATAGCATGTTTATTGAGTAGTCTGAAAAGATTTCTCTAGCATATATGTACGTGTGCTTCAGCTAGCTGCTTTTTAATGCATAGCGAGCTGTGTCACCACTTTCCCGTGATCCTGGCTTCAGGTGCCTTTGGTGATTCGAGGGGGAAAGAGAACTAGCGCTAAAGGATCCGACAGCCCTGCCAGAGGAAAAGGGGACAGATAGCGGGTGGCAGATGTTCCCACTTTAAAACAGCCTGGATTGGGGAATTTAGGTTATACTCTAGGCCCCAGAGAGTTGTAGAGACTCAGGATTTGGCAGGCAACTTAAAAACTGTTGCATCTTGATTGTCGGACTCTTAAAACAGACTTTGAAGAGTCTATAAACCATATTTATCTTGTCTTATGTGCCAATGATTTTTGTCCAGGCATTGCACTGGAAGAAGAGGTAGCAGAAGGAATGGAGAACAGCCTGGAAGTAGGAGCAAAACCGCAGTTTCCAGAGTCCGAGAAGCTGCACCAGAAAGAAAATACTGTGATTATTGTCAAACTGAAAGCTGGTAAAAGACCTGGATGTTCTTTTGGTGCTAGTGAAGTTGGATATTAGCCTTACTGCCCCTTCCTTTGGTTGCAGTTCTGCAGTATATCAGGCTCCTGATTTTTAGGTGGTATTTTTATGTCGTGGGTTTTGGTATCAAAAGCTGAAATCAGCTGAGTGCAGGTAGGAGGAGAAGAATGCATTTTTAGTAAGATGGTTTTTCTTTGGGGAAAAGGGGAAAGTGTTTTCCTGCTTTGTCTATCTTAAATGGTCAGAAACTTTGCATCCGCTTGGTATCAATTACACCTATATTTGTAATCATCTTTGTCATCATACCGAATTGGCTGTGTATGCTCCAGGAGAAATGAGACTCGAATTTGAAGAAATAGGGTCCTGTTGTTCCCTGTTGTAGGCAGATCGATAGACACATTGAGATGAATAATTAAGTCCGAATCAGGAAAAGAGGTTACGGTCTGCGTGATATCCCTCAGACTCTGCAAAATTCTGTAATAAGGCAGATCTTCAGTTTAACTAACAAAGAAACTACTTCTGAATTAAAGATATCTTCAAAATCAAGTGTATGATTCATTTTCAATCCATTAGGTGGTTCTCCTTGCAGAAAATGGGCCAGGGCTTGGGCCTCCACTGGGTGAGATGCTATATGATACTCAGGTCAGACGCTTAAATTATGTGCTTTTCACCTTGGTTTCATAACATGGTATTTCCCGTGTGCTGTTCAGACAATCTCAAGAGGCATCTCATTCCCATGCTTTCCCTTTCCTCCTTCTGTGCCTGCATAGAGTCTGTTTGCTTTCTGTTCAGAGCTTGTGTTTGGGGTATTTGTTGTTGCCAGCTAGAATGAGCAGCCTGTATTGGAGGGCAGTGCCGCTCATATTTGTGTATGAGGTAGAATTATCTAGCAACAGTATTTTTGTGTTTAATGCTTCGTTACACCCATTCTGCTGTCTTTTATGCTGCTAAATTCTCTGATCATGTATGTAAATTCCACCTTCAGGCATGATCTTTAAAATTACATTAAGAATCCAGCTTCTTACCAGTTAACACAAAAATCTTACTTGGAAGTACTTTCCTTAATCATTTAAAGCAGAAGATAGATTTTTTTTTTTAATTATTTTTTTTTAAAGGAGAAGTCTCAGAATAATATTAATTATTATGCATATATACGCATACATGCACACAGTGGAATTGCAGTGTGTAAACAGAAACAAATAAATGCAAAACATCAAAGGCTACTAAAATATAAGGGTATGTACATGTAAAAGGTAAAAGGACAGCTGGCAGCCAGCCCTGGAGCAGACTTGCTGCATCCTCGTGATACCAGGCTGTCAGTCCTGTAGAAAGGAGCCTATGAACCTGAGATGCTGCAGTATTAAACTTAAAGCTTTCCGATTGCTGAGAATAACACTAATGTTCTGTTGAATTTGGAGGCATTTATCTCCATTTTAGCCCTTTTTTGATTCTGTGCCAGGAGTCAGCAGACACCAAGCACCCGATAAAAATCTGCGAGCAGGTTATCAGTTCCTTGGGCACTGATGCATTCCACACCTCTTCTGCTTTCACAGCCAGATGCAACCTCAGCGAGGGTGTAATCCTTCCTTTGCTTCGCTGGCTTGTGCTGACAGGTTTGCTGTGTGCGAGGCTGTCCTCAGTTTATTCTGGTCTCTTTTCCTTCAGGATGGCACGCTCTCTGTACGAGTGGCTGTGGCAGCATGAGTTCTGGCTGCCCCCAGGAATCACCTGGGAGGACATGCAAGAGTCTGAAGATGTTCGTTACCCTCAGCCTCGTGATCTCCTGCTCAGTATCCCTTTTGCTTTCATCTTGGTTGTCATTCGATATGCCTTTGAAAGGTAAGTTATTCAGTACTGTTTGGGGGTTTTTTTAGGGATAATGCTGGCAGTTTGGGTCTAAAAGCTGGCTCTGTTGTCTGTGCTAATGTATGACTGACAAGGTCCACAGAAAGTCCAGGTCATAAAGTCTGCTGAGGTACGTTTTTCTGCTCTTTCCAGCCCTGCATACTGGCTAAACAAGTGTGTTGAATATAGAACACAAACGCTACCCTTAAGGTCTAATTATAAGCAATATGACTTCCTGCACTTAAAACATGCTTGTGTTTTAGAAGGCAGATGTGCTGTTTTGTGTTCTTTTGTGCATTACTTGCTGTTTCTGGGTTGAGTGCAGTGGAAGTCCTATTTAGACTACCCAAATAGAGTTGTGTCCTTTATCTTGGGTAATGAGGATCTGGGGTATCACACCTGACAGACAAGCCTGAATAAGATGTGTTAGATTGGGCTGAGTCGTCTGGCCTCAGAATCGGCACCGCATAACCACACAAACGTGTGCATGTCCGCTCTGGGTTCAGGATTGTCATTTCCTTGGGAGTGCCACATGGAGACATTTGTAGCTGCTGCCTCTGGGTTGAAGCCTGCCACAGACCCTTCCAGTGCTGGGCTGCCAGAATTTCTCCTGTTCTTCTCCTTCTGCTACCAGACCTGCTTTTGTTGCTGCTCTTTGCAGACTCTGCGATATGATCTTTGAGGGTCGGCTCTAGGGTCTTTCTGGCCAGAGCCATTTGAGTGTTGTGCACATTATGCTTCAGCACAGAAAATTTGGGTGTTACGACAAAGGTATAGCTAGGAATCCTGCTGGGTTCATTGACTTTGACCTTTCCTAAAGGTCCTGAGCTGGTACTGTTGCTTTGTGCAGTTTAGTCAATAGTTAGTGTGGTCTGCAACACAACATGATTTGCTGGTGGATAACTGAGATTTACTGTAGTGTCAGCCATTGTCCAGACTGCAGAGTAAGTCCCCTTTCATGATTTTTGAATACTTTTTAAAGTGGTTTTCACTGGATTAAAAAATCACTATTCCTAGCTGCTGTCTGAAGAGGTACCCTTTTCAAATAGCTTAGTCAAAATCTACAGTGGTTTTAAATTTAGAAAGAGGGGAAAAAAGATAATTTAAAAAATGTTCTGTCATCCTTTTTTGAAAAGTGGCTGCACAAGAAAATGGAAGCAGACCTCTCTAGCTAGAAAGATGTTTCTTCTCCAGATTCTCTGTGATACAAGGGCAGCTTGGAAAAGCTTATAGCAGTTGAAATGATTTGGAGCTTTCCTGTGGGAATGTTTTTATGTAAAAAAACCTGGCTATAACTGGGAGGTTTTTATTAAAACCAAATGCGTGAATAATTCTTTAAGTATGATGATACAAAATTGGAATCCAAATCTCTTCTTTGTAAACAATATGTTTAGTGTGCATTCCTTAAATTCTGTGAATTTTATCCTGCACTTTCCTGGGGACATAGGCATCTCAGTTACCTCTACTGATGCAGGAACCAAGGTGCTCTAGGTAACCATTAAAACACAAGTGACTCGTATTTCTTCCTTGCTGATCTGCGAGACATGACTGGGTACAGTACTCCTTTAGGCAGGCACTGTCAGTCGGTGACTTGGACACATTGGCAGTGTGAAGCTCAGAGGTGAGCCCGTGTCCTCCACTGGCTAGGTCTGCCCAGTTCTAGGCTCCCCAGTACCAGACATGTCTGTGGAGATACTTGAACCCAGCTGGACGCAGCCCTCCACAGCCTGCTGTACTGACTGCTTGAGCAGCAGCGGTGGGCTGGATGATCTCCAGAGGTCCCTTTCAGCATTGATTCTGTGCTTCTGTGCCTCTGTCTCTTTATCCTTCCTCTTGCCACACCACTCCTAGTCAATCTAAATATCTTTTCCATCTGTATTAAGATGCTGATGGCCAGGTAAAAAGATTATTTTTTTTTTTTTTCTTTCTTTCCCATCTAAGTGCTCCCTCAGCTGGGAGAGTTTCCACAGGCCTGGTCCTACTCATTAATTTTAAAGCTGTTTTGATTCACAAACTTCATTAAATAAAAGCTGCTTGTCACACCCTTAAAAAAAGATCGTATCACAAGCCTATTTTACAGGTCCAGGAAACCTATAATCATACCAGTATATAACCTATGCCAATTACAAGCCGGTGTTCTGAGCTGTATTCTTGTTTGTCCTAACTCATTTCAGCACGACATTTTCTCATTCTCAATCATTACTCTTTCACGTTCAGTTAATCCTGGAGAAGAAAGCTTCCCCTAGCAAATGGGAGCTATGAATCAAGTCCCGTGTTTCTCCGTTACCTTGTATGTATGATGGTGCTAGCCCTGTTTAAAATAATTTGCACAAAGTTTGAGAATTGCAGACTGAAAGGATGTATGTGTTATTTCTCATTCTCCATGTAGATGGCCTTGACTTTGTAGCTTTGTACATCTGGTCTGTGGTTCTAAAAGAGTAGGAGATATGTAAGTAGTACACAAGTTTGGGTTTGGTGGCTTTAGCTTGGCCTCTGGCAATTTTTTCTACTTGCAACTCTGCATCGAGTGCAAAGCGTTTTTTCTCTAGATACACTCTGTGTTCTTGGTGGTGCCTGCTCTGGGATTTCAGAAACGCTGTAATGTGTTCACGTCATTAATGTGTGTCAGAACTCCAGGAAAATACTAAAAGGCAGGAGCAGTCCAGGGGATTTTTTGCAATCCCTCATTCAATAATTGCATCAGCCACCGTGCTTGGGCCAACGGTTCCATGTTCATGGTTTGGAGATTAAACCTGGGAAAGACCCTGCTTCCTCGAGCATGGATTTTCCTCTCCTTGGCACCTGCTGGCTGAACTGGGAAAAACTGAGACAGCGACATCCTTTTAACCACCAGTTGTTCTGTGGATTAGGTGGTGGCTGTGAGAAGAGGACATGCAGCAGCTAGGTGGGGCCTGGGAGAGCTGAGGAGGTTGTGGGTGCAGCCCTGGGGGGGGAGAAGAAACAGCTCACACTTCGGTGAAGCAACTCTTCTGTGAGCCATTCTGCTCTGGGGAAGGTGGGGAAATGGGGCACTCAGTGCTGGAGAGCAGAAGGCTTCTTACTGCTGCCGTGCTCATCGTCTTTGCCACGATACAGAAGCAGGTGCTGGGGAAGGTGGGTAATGATGTCCTGGCAAAAGAGGGAACCAAGAAGTTGGAAACCTCTCCCCTTCCTTTGATGTTTCCAGATTGTGCTTGTGAGTAGGAGATATGTCCTGCACCCATAACTTGGAGCCTGATTTGAAGCACCTGTATACCTTAGCAGAACTTTTCCCTGGACATATGTCTGCAAGCAGGGATGTCACCTGCTCTTCTGGTTCTATAATGTTTGAGACTCTTTTCCATAAAAATCAAATTCTTGGAGTTCTATGATTCTGAAGGGATCACAGCTTCTATTACAAAGTGTTTGTTGCCTATATGGTTAGGAAAATGTGGGAACTGAAGCACTTTGAGGGATAGTTAAACAGAAAGTTGAAAAACAGAATTTACATCCGATTTAATTGTCTGATTTTGGACTTGACCAGTGATTTTTGGATGCTGAGAAACTGAAGGCAAATGGCAGTGAATTTGAATCCAAATAGTTCCCAAATTGCACCAGAGGAGGATTTTAGTCAGAAAGATTAGGTCTCTTAGGAGGGTTGTGCCAGTATGAGCCATGTGGTGTACATTAAAAGAAAGAGATACTGTTGATCTGCAGGGAACAGATACCTGAACTCAGAACAGGAAAAATAGAAGAGGACACCCTTTTCAAGTATTTTATTTTGAAATGGATCTCTCTGAAATTAATTTTGTACCGAGACTTTTATTGTTAGGAAGTATCTGCAAACAGCTTCCTGTTGGGTCTTGTAGGCAGGTTTTTTGTGTGAAGATGTGGGACATGTCGTAGTATTTAATTGAAAACTCTGAACTGACTCGGCTCAGTTTGGACAGTAGCACTGTAGTGACTTGAGATCTTGTATCACATGGAACAGCCAGTTTAATCGATGTGAAGCATTCTCCTGTAAGCAAGAGAAGGTAGAGACTATTCTGGGAGCACAGGGATAGCCCTCTGCCAAAAGAAGCATGAGGCTAAAAGAGATTGTGCAATTCAAAGAATAGAAGTTCTGGTTGCTGCTCTCGCTGCTTCTGTGTTTCGTAGTACTGGAGGATATTTGCAGAGTGGCACCCTTATAAAATCAAAAACATTTGTGGGAGAAAAAACCACAACACCCTCCAAAGTTAAATTATTTCTTGTATCTCATGCTAACTCTGAAAGCCTCTGCAGAAGGCGTGTAGCCCACTGTCTTGCAGGGTAGGGGAGTATCAGTTTATGCCCCTTCATGATTAATCCATTTAGTTTCGACTTAAGCAGGTTTCACAGAAGACAGACTGTTCTTTGGTGATTACTGAATAAAATGCCTTAGCGTGAACTTTCCCGTGTAAACCATGAAGTGAGAGGAGCTCCTCTTGCTGACTGTGCCTTGCCTTACCTAGCTGTGGAGAGTGGTACAGTTTAGTCCTCGAACTTTGTCCATCTTCCAGAGAGCTGATAAACTGCCATGATGAGACCATCCCTGCAACAGAGATTATGAATCTGTGATGTTGAAATCATAGAAGCATCATTGTCTTAGAATTGTGCTTGGAACAAGATTTAACTGAAATCTGAGTCAGAGCATACATCCAACATGTACAAGCGTCCCTTAGGAAGAATTTCAGGCCTTGATTTCCCAATGATGTTCATAAAAGTAGGATTGGTCCCATAATTCATGGTTAAACTCAAAACCTCAACAACAAAGTAATTGTAACCTTGGTTAATTACACCCTGTCTTCATCAGCTGCAACTGGCTTGTTTCTGTTATAGTAAAATTTTATGTTATGACCATAACAAACCAGCAGGAAAGAGAGAGAAGACAGGGATTAAACGAAATTAAGAAATCAGTCAGGATATTTAAATAGTTTTTCAATAAAAAACTTGTTGGCAAGCTGCCCTGACACCCGGCAGAAACATTCTTTTCCCTTTTAATGGGTCTGGAAGATTTCAGACCTTTCAGTTCCTGATGTGGACTGATAAGAAGCTGCAATAAGGTGGTTCAACAACAGAACTTGATTACATCTTCCTCTGCAGAGGAGCTTGTATCAAATGACTTATCTTTGGAAAAGAAAGATCAGGCCTCCTTCAAGGAACTGCTTAATATAAGAACCAAAACCTAGTGCAGAGTTTAAGGTAAATGTTTTCTAAATTTTGGTATACTTAGGGCTATCATTGAAATACTGTGTCATTGTTCTTAGCACAGGACCTGCTGGCCCAACCTTACTGTTAACCCCTTTGATACTAAACAAATCATAAGATATAATTGAAACATTTCTTAAGAACAATCAGAGTTAAAAGCCAAAATTCCCAACAATGGCTATATTCCTCTGCTATCCAGCAGTCTGCCGGTTGCAGCAGTGCCACGGTGCTGCTAAATTTCACCGAAACTGATCAGGTCCTTCACACAGCTTTTGTGATAACGGTGTGTCTTGTTGGAAAGTAGCTAGCAAGCACACTTACTCCTGGCTCTTGTCTCATTGTAGAAACATATCTTTTTCATTGGTCTTGGTACTTCTTTGAACGTTCCTGTAGCCAGTGATGCCAAAGGAATTTCCCAGAGACGATGAAAAAGAACAAGTGATATACAGGCTGGTGGGCTGGCTGTGTAAAAGAAAGGTGGAAGTCAGCTGTTACACGAGTGAGCAAAATGTGTAACCATCCTGTGGTTTATGCCTTAATGTAATAGAAGTTAACAGCATTCCTTAGGTAGCAGGTCTGTTTATAAAATTGCTGTCAATACTGGTTAATTAAATTAAGAAATGGGTTCTTGAAAAGAAAACTTCCAAAGATCCTTCTGGAAGGATGCTTGATCTGGAATAGTACCTAAGCACGCACGCATATGCAGTATGGGCTGTATGGCTAGAAGAGAATGCAGGCAACCACACCGTATAATCACAGTTATAAATATATCCCATATTATTTTTTAAGTAAAACACTTTTAAACACCTACATAGTGAAGTAGCTTCCGCAGCTTTTTTGCTGTACAGTAAAAAAAGAAAAGAAATCTTGTTGTGTGTCTGAATCATTAGGGATAACTAATCAGAGGACCTGCCTGGACAACATGAAGATTGACCAGGCAGAGCAGGCTTGGGTCTCAGCACTCGCTTCCTCTGCATGGTATTCATCAGCTCGTAACCACCCTCAACACTGATTTACAATTGGTAACCCAGTAACTGTTCAGGGAAGCTGTTAGCACCTTAAGCCAAGAACTTCTACACCAAAATGCAGAGAGAAGGTTTTCCAGAGATTTTTCATGTTCAGTGTCCAGCAACAGTACTAAAAAGCTCTTCTAGGCAGACAGTCTGCTCTCTTTTCTAACGAGACTAACTGCATGCCAGTGGCAGTGTGTAAAAGGTAGTGATTAATAAGGAACAACGAATTCTCCAGAAATTCAAAGAGAATGCAGTTAATTTAGGCCTTTTTTAAAAACGTTGCTTTGCCAGGTTTCCTGTTTGTGCAGCGTTCGTGCACCTCACTGTGGGAGGCAGCTGTTATATACTACAACATGTTTTAACAGTGCTGTGATACCAGAAATCACTGTTCTATTTTTGGCTGAACCTTTATCTTTTCTTTTGCAGAGCCATAGCCCTGCCCCTCAGTAGCAAACTGGGTGTGAGAGACAAGCAGAGACCAAAAGCTCAGCCGAACCCCATGCTGGAAACATTCTACAGTACACGCTGCAAGAACCCTGAAGAGGTGAGTCCTGTCTTCCTTTGCTTTCCTCTAGATTTAGCCCCTGTGTCTTTAGCCGAATGACATCACATTTGGAATACTGAAATTTGGTAATGCTACTCATGTTTGCTCAACAAAGCAGCAGGAACTACTGTAGCACTGGCCACCTGAGACCAGCCAGGCACAGGGGTCATTCTGCAAATGCCATCAGCGAGCAGTCCTGCTTCTGAATGTGTGGGAGTAGCAGCTTTCTATAGGTAGCATTCAAAAAATGTAAATCCCAAACTTCTGTGGACAGGAAACTGTTCTCCCAAAGGAATTAATGACAACTCCTGTTCCCTCTTGTGTTTGCCTTCTGTGTGGCACAAACTGAAACACAGGAGGCTCTGCCTGAACATCAGGAAACACTTATTTTTCGTAACAGGTTGCCCAGAGAGGCTGTGGAGTCTCCATCCTTGGGGATACTCAAAAGCCGTCTGGATCGACTCTAAGTAGCTCTACTTGAGCAGGGGGAGTTGGACCAGATGACCTCCAGAGGTCCCTTCCAACCCCAGCCATTCTGTGATGGCTTCTTTTCAGGTATTAGCAAATCCCTGCCGCATCGAGGGATGCCTTGAACTGACTCCCATGTTGCTAGTCCTTGCAGCTTAGCAGGTGTGAATTGTTTGATGCTCCTAGTCTGAGGTGGCTCATTCTGTTGCTGTGCAATCCATGAGTTTGAGATTGACCTTTCAGGAAGCCAGCTAAAGCCTTGGCCGTCATCACAGAGTTTGTAAGGAGTGTCAGAACACTGCAAAGACAAATGGTGGGTAGTTTTCCATGAGAGATAAAAAGACTGATCTTGAAGAACTTGGCAGGATAATCCAGAGTTATAATGGCTGCTGCTGAGGGAAAAAGTATTGGCAGGATTGTGAATTGTCAGACCATGCTAGGATTTAACCTTGTCAGTGAAGTCCCTGAATGTGACCTCTGTGGTAGGGGAAGGAATGATTTTCTTTCAGCTTTTTTTTGCAGGCTTTCTTGGCCTTGAAGCAATAGCTATTAACCCTTCCCAAGGATGTATGAGCAGGGGGCTGGGGTTCCAGTCCCAAGGGGTAGTCCTAGCAGGAACACGTTGCTGCCGTTGAAAGGCTGTTGCAGCACGGTTTGTACTGCAGTGGGGCATGTGGAGCCCCAGGACATTCAGTACCAGGTTAAAAGTGAAAGAATGGAGGCTAAAATAAAAATGCAGGCATTGATCTGGGTTACGCAGCCAGCCTTCCTCCCCAGCAGTGGGAAGGAGTGTTCTCAGGAACACTTGCCAGTATGGTGGTCCCTGACCTTCCTCTTGCCACACATTTCTCAGTAAAACCACTCCTGTCGCAGAGATCTAACTCGAGGCCTAGTTTTGCAAGCAGGTTTTACCCAGGGCTTTACTGGCACCTACATTGCACTGAAGCTGGCCCTTTTATCCCAGAGCATCTGGGATATCGGAGCGTATCCTCGCCGTGAGACTCCTGACAGCAGTGTGATGTGGAGCAAGGATGGTGCAACAGGCTATTGCCTCGCTCTCTCCATTCACGAGTTACTCCTCAGCCAGTCTTCTAGCTTCCTCCCTCTCCCGTGAGGTCTCAGACACCTGCTTAGGAGTCAGCTTTACTTGTCGAGTACAAGATTTTGCTATTCTCAACAGCCTCCTTCTTGGAAGGAATTCCACATTATGGAGCAGTTGGAGAACATAAATCAGTGTCTCCATTTGTCTCCACCACAAGAACAGAAGTCACTAAGTAAGAATGGAAAGAAGCACATCTGAAAATTGATAATGAACATACTTTTGTACAACATGCTTGGACTATGTAAGTTACTCTCAAGTGATACCATTAAGGTAAATGCATTCCATGAAAAACTATTGCTTTACTTAAAAATTAAGTGGTGACACTTCCAGAAGGAATATAAAACATGACAAACTTTTTTCACGTCACATGCCAAACTCCTCTTAAGAGCCTAAGGACAAGAAGGAAGGTAATTGCAGGATTTCTGTGGGTAATCTGTTGAAACATTATCCCTAACAGGTTTACCACAACAGAAGAATATACGGTAGGAAAATGGTGTTGCCTCTGCTCATGACATCGGTCAGGTTATTGGCTGATACTGCATCAGAATGCTGAAAGGCATGACAAGATTCAGTGCAGAACTTTAAAAATTATTTAGGTTGCAGTGAATCTTTCTTGGAGTGACAGATTTAAGGGACTTGGTCTTTTAAGACAAGGTGAGGGAGCGATTCAACAACAAACTCCTGTGAGAAGACGAGAACAGGGTTTGAAAGGTAAAACTGGGGAAGTTCACATAAAAAACTTAAAGTTGTAATGTTTAGCATTAATAACCAGTTGCTTATGGGGGGAACGGAAAGATTTTCTACTATCTGAGGTCTTTATGCTAAGAACAGCTAGCTTTCTGAAAAATGCTTAGCCTGAACAGATTTGGGCTTGCCAGGAGCCTCCGGCTGAGCTCCATGGTGGGTCAGACGAGATGCCCATATTGCCTCTTCCAACCTTCGAACCTGGATCTGACCCCTGCTGCCTCACCTGTTTTTCAGGGTGAGCTGATCACTTTAGCCAAACAGTGTGACCTGCCGGTGAGGAAGGTGGAGAGGTGGTTCCGGCGCCGGAGGAACACAGACCGACCCAGCCTGTCAAAGAAGTTTTGTGAGGCCTGGTGAGCGGGAGCACAAGCCAGGAGCAGCAGGAGCCTTGCACCGGAGCTGGGCTCCGCAGGCAGCTCCCTGCCTCCCAGCCTGCCCTCCACCCTATGCAGAGAGCATCCTGGGTCTTCCCTGCCCCGCTTGGTTCTTCTGTAACTCTCTGCTGCTTCTCTGTTACTGAAACATTCCTTGCTTTTCCCCTTTAGTTTCACTCCCAAGTCTCCTTTTACTCCTGTCTCGCCTTTATTCCCTACAGGGCCTGTAGGGCCCTGACTTTCTAAGACTGGCATTCTGCTTTGAAACACAATTGTACCTGAAAAACTTCCTACTGTTTTGCATCTTACTGCTTCTTGCTGCTTTGCAGTTGTTTTGGTGCCTCCAAAATAGTCAGCCTTTGCATTGCCTTTCCCCTGACTTCCCTTTGCCTCACTGCAAGCTGATTCCTTCTGCAACTTCTGTTCTGCAACTGTTGTGCACACTGTTGCTTTCAAAACTCGCAGGCAGTGGGCTAGATTGTATTCTGCTGTCAGTTGACTTCAGCATCCTGAAAGTCAAAAACCAGCACCCTTTTATAGTGGCAGAAAAAGGGAGCCTATGTGAAAGCTTGTGTTTTCCAAAAAGCAAAACTCTTTTTGGAAACAGCTGTGTGGAAATCCTCCTTATTATGTGGAGGCACAAAATAAATCTCAACGTCAGCCAGTTCTGTGAGTGTTAGTCCTGGCTAAGCTTTCCACAGTAAAGGAAGATTCTCCTGAGCTTGGTTTAAATACCTTACTTAGGAGTAATAGCTGCTCTGCTATTCATGTAAGGAAGTAGGTTCTCCTAGGAAAGTCACAGAGATGAAAGAACTCATTAAATACCTGCAGTGCACTCTGTCTAAAAGTGTGTATCCATAGGGTAGGCATCAACTCTGAGCTAATCGCCTCGTGCTCCATTTAGTACTCAACCTCTAATTCAAAACCCTTGCCTAATAACCCTAATTGAAAAAGAGAAAAAGGATGTGTATTATTTATTTATAGTATTGCAGATAGTTGCAGTTAGAAATGTTTACAAAATCCATGGACAAGGAGTTGTAAAGCAACCATGCTTAATCTGCTTCCATCAAGATGAAATCTAAGTTCTCCCTGCACTCAGCTGACTTGCACTAAATAGTAACAGTAAATAGTAAACAGTAAATAATTTTCTGACTCAACTCACCAAGGATGGTGTCCTTCCACTTGCCCTCTATCACCATTTGCAGTCTGTAGAAAGAATGTCTTTCTGATGTGACGTAGTAGCTTTGTACAGTTTATGTCTGTCTTCATTGACAGCTGGAGTCTCTCTCTCAAAAATAAGTTTTATTCCTTTGAAGATTGCCCGTGTTTTGTCTGTTAACAACTTGTTTATTCTGTTGCGGTGAAATTCCCCTCATTCCTTACTATATGTGTGTATATTCAGTGTGACCTGCCTCTGTCCACTGAACTTCGCAAACAGTTCACATGTACTTCTCTGTGGGTTTAATATGGGTAAATCATTACCAACTCCTGACTGAGACAGTGATTAATTACTTTACATGATAATGAATTTAGCATGCCTAATCTCCAAAAGCCTAGGAGAGAGATTGGCATTGTTTGACTTTTACAAATGCATGTGCTAGTGCTGGGAAGGTTTGGGATGGTTATCTGGGTGATTTTAGTCAGCGAGATTCTTGTATTTTCTGCCATCTCTAAAGCAGAAGAATTGCTCTTTGTGAAGTCTGTTGAATCTGCTAATAACATGCAAAGAGCCACTCCTGTTATGATCTGGGCAAACCTGGAACATATTAATGTATGTCTTTGTCTTAATAGCGTCATTCTTTGAATGGGTGTGATTGATACACAGAATTGCAGTTTGGTGGTCAATGAATGGGATTCTAATGTACTTTGTTTTGTTTGTAGCTGGAGGTTTACATTTTACATCATTTCTTTCTTCACTGGACTTGCTGTCCTGTATGATGTGAGTACACAAGCAGTGCCACCTGCTGTTCTACCTAGCCAGTGCCTGCAAGAATGGCACGTTTTCTTGTCAAATACATCCTTTCAGACCTCCTTATAGAGATTTTCCCACCAGGTGAGTGTGTATCCTCTGCACAGCACACTTACAAGACCACAAACATATTGGACTGTGCTTATTTTAAAAACTCCAACTCAAAAACCAAGAGGTTTCTTCTTCTTCTGGCAAAGCAGAAGACAATTGGAATTGTGTAAAAATACATTTCTGTGCAGTAGGAGGTAAAACACTTACCTGAGATGGAAGCTGCAGGGCCTGTTTTATCTGTGTTTTATCCAATACCTGTTTAAAGTAAAAAGCTTAGACTTCCTTTGGAGCATGGACTGCTATTTATTAATTTTATTTATTAATTTTCTTTTCTTTACCCAAGGTGTGATTGGTTCAGGCTCATGCCTCTGCCTTTTCTCTGATTTGATAAATAATGAGTTCTCTTGATATAAATTATACTGCCTCAGGCAGAAGAGTTAATAGAAGCCATCCGTATGCTGTGGTCACTAAGCTGGGACTAGGGGCATCGGTCATCCTCTGACTGTGTTTTAAAGGTTCCCCTGGCTCTTTTGCTGAATCTGAATCCCTAGGTGAGCTTTGCAAAAGCCTTCTACGCTGTCACCTTCTGAGAGGTTAAGTAATGGAAAACCTGCAGATCCCAAGGCAGGAGGCACAAACTGTGCTTGTAACTTCTCGTTAGTGTAACAAGTGAAGAACTTTTGAACTTACACTGACTTTCAAGTCAGAATTTACGGTACTCGAGGAGTGTGAGGATTACAGGATGAGCTAGCAGAGGAGCGAAGGTATCTAAATCCCAACTGCAGTGTTTTGTGGATCTGTACATCAAAATAGAAGGCTATTCTTTGAGGCCAGCTATGAAAGTTTGGTATGGATAACCTGCTTAGCATAGTACAAGAGCCCTGTGGCAACAGAAGGGGCGAAATCTGGTTCTTTTGCACGTTATCTGGCCATTCTAGGAATGAAAGATCATCTTCACTTTTCATGAAAGTCTTTTCTTTATTCAGTACACATCTTCCAATTTTCACAAAAAAAAAAGAGGAGGCGTCTGTCCTACGGACAGCACCTCTGGATCCCATAGCAAATAGCAATTATTCTGTTACCTGAAATTGTACCGAAATTACTACATTATAAAGAAGGACAAAGAAGTAATGTGACAGGGTGTGTTTGCATGTGACATTTGCTGACTTTTGCATGTTTACTTTGGAATCTGAGTAGTATTTTAACGTGCATTTGTTTTTGTGAAACACCCTTCTTTCTTTAGAAAAAAGAAAATGTTTTAATTCTATATTAGTAGCTTTAGACTGATGGCAAAAACCTCTTCCCCATGCGTCAGTGACATAGCAGGTAGCAACGGAAAGTTATCTCAGAGCAGGCCACCAGAAAACAGTTTTATTTGCTGAGAGTAGAGGAACGATGAAATTCAGAGATCTGGGGTTCCTTTCTAGTTTACATGGTGTGCCATAGTTGTTTCAGAGTTTTTGGGTTGTCCTCTCTGATTCTATATTGCACATCTCTCCTGGTTATGTGCCTGTATTTGCTGTAAATCCTACTCCCAACCCCAGTCCCAGCCAGCAGGACGCTGTGTCTGCTCCTAATTACCACTGCTCATAAAAACCTCTGCTTCCCTTCCGTAATTCTCATGCGCCAGAAGGTGCTTGGTGAGAGAACAAGAAATATTGCCGTCTTGCTCTTAGCTCTGACATCTGGAGCTTTGTGGAACTGTTACAGAAAATTACCCTTACAGATGCGGTGTAGAATATGTTCCATCACTGTATGCTCCAGGACATGCTTGCTCTGATCAAATCTGAGCACAGCAAAGGGTCAGAGCATGCTCCATGCAGGAAGAACTTTTGGGGACTTTAGCTGCCATGTTTCTGTGAAAGTTTCTAAGCTGCCAAGTTCTAAACTACCAATTTTATATGAAGTGTGGACAAAGTAGGATCTTTTCAGAGGTTCATTACCTAACAGACTGCAGTGTGATCCTCACTGTTGAAGGAAAAAACATGTTCCTGACACACAAGTTTTCAGCCTTCTTACCACATTTAAGTGTTATTGTCCAAACCACAGAGATTCTTAATGAAATAGTTGTAAGAAAATTTTGATATGTTCAAAACATCACCACCCCAAACTTGTAGAAGGCTGCAACAAGTTGGTAGAAATCTTCCCTGAGCTATTTTACTTGGAACTGGGCTAAACAGCACGTGAAATTTCAGTGCAATAGCCACAAATTAGCGAGGTCACAAGCAACTGCAAGTTCTTGCAGTGGAAATGTCTTGGTAACTGAATTCCAGACGGTGCGACCAGCTCTGCCTCTAATAAAACACAACAAAGTCTGTAGTAGTAAAAAACTAAAGGAATTAGGTGATAAGAAAATTCTCACATTCATGTTGCTTTTTCTTTACAGAAGCCTTGGCTTTGGGACCATAGAGAGTGCTGGACAGGATATCCACAACAGGTGAGTCATGCAAGAGGGCAAATTGCTGTTATAAATCATGTATTGTCTTTCAGTATCTTTTGAAAATCAGGTTATATTAGTGACAAAAGAGAGGGCACTGAATTAAATTCAGACTCAGGAGTCCTAAGAATTCAAAGCCAGATCCTTGTCAAGGGAGAACTTCTTTGTATCTGGTGTAATCGAAACACAATAGAGGATGAGTCAGGAAAGCAGGAGGAGACTGCAGAAATAAAGGGAGAGTGAGAGTTCTGACCAGGTGAGCCAGGAAACTGAAAAATGGGAACGCTCCAAGGTTGTTTAGTTTGTAGAAGAGACTGAGGCCAGAGAAGCACATGTTGCCTGAGGAGAAGTGAAGACTTCAGTGGACAGTATCTAGAGCAGAGGACATGCTCTGAATGCTGTGCACTTTCAGCTGTACTGAAGAATCATGTCCACAGTGCTTCCCAAAGAGTTTGTTTCCCAGTGGAACTGGCAGTATAGCCAGTAGCAATACAGGATCATTCCCATAGAGTTTAGAGGATGCTCTCTTACAGTTTTACAATGTATATTCTGAGTTTTTTCACAACAGCCCTGTGAGAAGCTGTCCAGTGGGTTGGAAAGCATATATCTCTTATCAGCCCAGACCAGAATAACCTCAATGAAAATTGCCAGCTAGCCACAACATCTGTTCTTTGTTCATCAACACAAGGAGCAAAGATAGCAACCAAAAGTCAGGTACTTTTTTGCCCAGCTGCCTCCTTTGCTATTCCTACTCCCCTTACTTGAGAAGTTGAAAGAGTTAGAATGGGGCTTCACCTACTGAGCACAGGAGCTATTGCCTGCTCTGCCTTTCCCCTTATGCTTTTATGTGCTCCGAATTCTCTGTAGAGAAGGCGACTATTGATTGTTCTATAGCAGGAGCCTTCCTATATCATCCTGTTGTGGATGCCACAGCAGATGTACTAAAGAGACCTAAATTTCATTAAAGTGACAAATCTGATTCCAAGTTTGGGAGAGGTTCCTCTGTCCTACAAGAGAAGCTGGTAAGTGTTTCTAGCGTGATAGTAATCTCCTGTATTATCATGCAGGGAGGTCACTCACCAATTACCATCACAGGCAAAACAGATGGGTCTTGGGGAAATTATTTTAATTCATTGCCGATCAAATCAGAGTAGGATAATGAGAAATGAGAACAAATCTAAAAACACCTTCCAGTTCTGGGCTCCCCAGTTCAAGAAAGACAGGGAACTACTGGAAAGAGTCCAGCAGAGGACTGTGAGGATGATGAGGGGACTGGAGCATCTCTCGTATGAGGAAAGGCTGAGAGAGCTGGGGTTGGTTAGCCTGGAGGAGACTGAGAGGGGATCTGATCAATACTTATAAATATCTAAAGGGCAGATGTCAAGAGGATGGGGCCAGACTCTTCTCAGTGGTGCCCAGCGACAGGACAAGGGGCAACAGGCACAAACTGGAACACAGGAAGTTCCACCTGCATAGGAGGAAAAACTTCTCCATCTGAGGGTGACCAAGCCCTGGGACAGGCTGCCCAGAGAGGTTGTGGAGTCTCCTTCTCTGGAGAGATTCCAAACCCTCCTGGACACAATCCTGTGCAACCTGCTCTGGGTGATCCTGCTCTAGCAGGGGGTTGGACTAGATGATCTCCAGAGGTCCCTTCCACCCCCTGCCAGTCTGTGATTCTCCCCACCCCTCCCTTCTTCCTGGGCTCAACTTCACTCCTGACTTCTCTACCTACTCCCCCCAAGAGGTGCAGGGGGACAAGGATTGGGGGTTGCGGTCAGTTCATCACACGTTGTCTCTGCCGATCCTTCCTCCTCACACTCCCCCTGCTCCAGCATGGGGTCCCACCCACAGGAGACGGTCCTCCATCGACGTCTCCACTGTGGGCCCTTTCAGTGGGCTGCAGTCCTTCAGGAACAGACTGCTCCAGTGTGGGTTCTCCACAGGGCCACAGGTCCTGCCAGCAGCCTGCTCTAGCACAGGCTCTCCACGGGGTCACAGCCTTCTTTGGGCACATCCACCTGCTCCAGCATGGAGTCCTCCACAGTCTGCAGGGTGGACCTCCGCTCCACTGTGGACCTCCAAGGGCTGCAGGGGGACAGCCTGCATCACAATGTTCTGCACCATGGGCTGCAGGGGAACCTCTGCTCCAGCACCTGGAGCACCTCCTTCCCCTGCTTCTTCACTGACCTTGGTGTCTGCAGAGTTGTTTCTCTCACATATCCTTACTCCTTTCTCCTGTCCACTGTTGCACAGCAGTTTTTACCCCTTCTTAGATATGTTATCACAGAGGTGCTACCACCATTGCTGATGGGCTCAGCTTTGGCCAGCAGCGGGCTCAGCTGGCTGGAACTGGCTCTGTCAGACATGGGGCAGCTTCTGGCATCTTCTCGCAGAAGCCACTCCTGCAGCCCCCCCACTACCAAAACCTTGCCACGTAAACCCAGTACACACGCTTTCCAGCATCTATAACAGAAAAGACCAAAATCAGAGCTAGTAATGTCCCACTGACAAAGAGCAAGAAAGATCAAGGACAAACCCGTGTGTTAGCAGGAACAAAGAATGTATTAAACACAATCTCTACTAAACAGGCCATGCCTTTTGCTAGGGGTAATGACAAAAGAAATGCCAATTCTCCCAAATAATCTTATCTTTGGGGGAAAAAAATCCCTTCTGATCCAGAGCTCATACTTGGATAACCTCCAGAGTGTGAGCAGCACACACCAGCATGGGAGATGTTAATATCCCCCCTGGTAGCACCAGTGCATCCAGCTGTGCTTCCTCTTTTGGCCAGTCGCTGGTGCTACAAAGGAGAAACTAAAATCTATGAAGGTCATAAATCAACACTTTGGGTAGAGAAAACCCAAATATATCAGTATTTGGGAGCACCGTACTCTGTGATTCTTTGGAAATGCTAGTTGCATTTAGTCACTGCAATTTTTTTTTTTTTATCAAATAGGTTTGGGTTTAAGGAGTCCATATAGTGCCACAACAGTGAAAAATTACTTTTTAAATAGCACATATCTTGCTGAGTGGGTCTAATCTTTTAGTTTTCCAGCTGTAAAACCCCAGAAAATGACCCAGAAGAATGCAGATTACTGTTCACACTGGGAGTGTACTTTCCCCCCATTAGTTTGATTAAACTAAAAATCTGTGATAGACAACAAGGTGTCTGAAGCATCTCCTTGAATCCTAAGAAGAGAATGATTTCTTCAGCTACTACTTACCTGTTTCACCATAGTGAAATGGTTTACATAGTTTTTAAAGCTCTATACTGACTGGTCAGGAAACTGCACAGTGCTGAAGAAATCCTAAAAATATTCAGGATCTTCCTGGTGGTCCCCTGAATGTTCCGCATGGTGCGGCAAAGTGGAATTTCCCCTGCTATTTGCTTTTGCCTCAGCACAGATGACATTTAGTAAGTAACCACGTTGTTCAATGGAAGTATTTCCCGCTGAAGCTGCAAGAACCAGTCTTGTTGGTTTGGTGTCTGATGTTCTTTTGCCTAGAAAGAGTCTTCACTTCCAGGCCTTGCTCTGCTTTATCTAATGGGTATTTCACTGTCTCTCCCTCTCTCACAGCCTCTCCAACCCTCCCTGTTCTGGTACTACCTGCTGGAGCTCTCCTTCTACTGGTCACTGGTCTTCACCCTGCCCTTTGATGTGAAGAGGAAGGTGAGTGGCAGCCTCGGGGAAGACTCAAGCACAAACAGGACCCAGGCTGAACACTCAGGACAGTGATCTTCAAGAGCACATGTGTAGTGCTAGTCTGAGGTTTTGGGGGACTCTATCCTTGCTCATTCCCAGGAATTTCCATTCCCAGTCACTGGCTTCACTCTCCTCTGGGAAGTGGAGAACACAAACTCTGATACAGAAAGGTGCAAACCACTGCAGAGTCCTCAATCCAAACTTAAAAATTGCTTTTCTGGGACTTTTCTAGGCTGCACTGATCATAGAGATAGGAAAAGATGATTCTCTGCCAGTTAAGTCGTATGTGTTCCTAGGTGCCAGTGCCCCGATAGACAGGGCGCTGCGTGATTACTTAGGCATACATGTGCGTTGAGGCTGCGAATATACCCTTGTAAGTATAAAGGGTGGTTGTAAGTCTCCATCAGCGAGCCTGGGGGTATGAGATAGTCATGAAACAGGTAGGCATGCCCAGGAGCACAGAGCAGAGGTGAATATGGGCACTGCTCTGTGACAGGAAGCTGTCTTTATCTTGAAATTGTCTGTACTGAACCATTGGCTCTTACTCTTCTGTCTTCTGATTTGCACCATCATTGGACCATTAACTGGTGGAGGGCAAGAGCATTCTGGAAAGAGCATTCTCTGTTGTGAGATTGTCAGTTTACACCATAAACTCTTCATTCCTGGGTCTCTTGGTTGCCTACATTTCTAGAATGTGTTAGGTAAAAGACTTATATGAGTAAGACCTTATAGCAAGAGGTTTCTTAAGTCATTGGGTAGAGAGATTTCATTTCTACCTGCAGGAGGCATGCTTTAACCAGGGCAGAAGGTGCATTATGTATTTTTTTTCTCTGCTGTCCCCTTTCTCATCAGGACTTCAAGGAGCAGATAGTCCACCATGCTGCAACCATCTTCCTGATCAGTTTCTCATACTGTGCGAATTACATCCGCATTGGGACGCTGGTGATGGTGATTCATGATGCTGCTGATTGCTTCCTAGAGGTGAGCTCCATGAGTTACATGCCAGGTGAAGCCTAGTTAGCAATGGTGCTCTTCAGCCAAAGAGCGTCTTTTGATCTGGCACACTATGGGCTACATGTTATGGTGTTTCACAGATAACTCAGTACTGATCTTCTGACCCAGCCTAGGGCGCTCTGCAGAGAGCCAGGAAGATGCTTGATTACCTGCATGCAGATTGTATCGTATCTGGCTCGTTAGCCTCCTGGAGCATGTGGCAGATGCACTGTCTTGGCCTGCTGTTTATTGTTCTTTCTCCTTCCAGCCAACTAAGATATTCAATTACATGAAGTGGAAAAAAACTTGTGACAGCCTCTTTATGATCTTCTCAGCTGTTTTCCTCATCAGCCGCCTGGTCATTTTCCCCTACACGTGAGTCTGCTGCAGTCAAGGGAAATGGAAAAGTTGCCTTCTGAGAGACAGGATAATTCAGCTGGGTGCTGAATTTTTGCTGCAGCCTTTGCTTTTCAATCCTTGAGCATATATCCCTGCCCTTTGCGTAGGCTACAGTGCCACATGGCTGTTGCACCTGCCTTGGGGTAAACTAGGGTGGTCTGCCATGGAGTTCATAGAGTAGTCTTAAAGTCCTGAAGTGTACTGCAGAGGAGGAGTCCTTGGCCTGTGGCTCTGCCCTGCTTATTTCTGGTGGGGAACTGAGAATTGGCTCATGTTATATAAAAGAAGGAGGTGCCTGACCTGAAACTTCATCTGTGACTAGAGCTTTCTGGGGCTTAATTAGAACCCTACTAACAACACACTTTCCCTTCACTGCAATTCCCTCTCTCTTGCAGAGTGCTCTATAACACCTACTATTACTCCATGGAGATATTCCAACCCTTCTTTGGATACTACTTCGTGAATGCTCTCCTGATAATTCTGCAGCTGCTCCATGTCTTCTGGTCCTGCCTAATTATGCACATGGTCTACAAGTTCATCCTCCAGGGCACGGTATGGATCAGTTTGTAGTCCCCTGTACATCACGTGGGGAGGGAGGGTCCACCTAGACTGTGTGGGAGCACAGGGGTTCCTCTGGGATGGATTCCTTCTTGCCCTAGTGAAATTATACTTGTACATTCCTAACAGTGAGGCGAAAGGAACACTCGATATTATTAGGGAAAGCTGACTGAAAAAAAGTAAAATTTTTAGGAGTCAGTACAATATTGGGTCCACTTCTGATGCTTGTGTTCAAGAAAAATGTGGATTGGTCTCCAGGGGAGATTTCTGTGAACAAAGCCAGTGACATCTGAGTAAGAATCCCAATACTTGGTCCAGTATGATATGCATTTGTAACAGAACTAAGAAATCAAGGCAGGGAAACTTGTGATTGGTGAGGCCAGTGCAAAAGTGCTTCCCTTGTAGTACAGGATTTTTAATTACAGTGTTACTGAGATCACAGAATCACAGAATGGCTGAGGTTGGAAGGTACCTCTGGAAGTCTTGTCCATATTTCCTGGCTCAAGCGAGGTCACCTAGAGTAGGTTGCCCAGGACCATGTCCAGACAGCTTTTTAATATCTCCAAGGATGGAGATGCCACAACCTCTCTAGGCACCCTGTGCCAGTGCTCAGTCACCCTCTCAGTAAAAAAGTGTTTCCTGATGTTCAGAGGGAGCCTCCTGTGTTTCAGTTTGTACCCATCACTTCTTTTCCTGTCACTGGGCACTACTGAGAAGAGCCTGGCTGTCTTCTTTACACCTTCCATTCAGGTATTAATATACCTGGATAAGATCCCCCTGAGCCTTCCCTTTCTCCAGGCTGAACAGTCCCAGCTCTCTCAGCCTTTCCTCATACATGAGATGCTCCAGTCCCTTCATCATCTTTGCAGTCCTCCACTGGACTCTCTCCAGTATTGTCCATGTCTGTCTTCTACTGGGGAGCCCAGAACTGGACACAGCACACCAGGTGTGGCCTCACCAGTGCTGAGCAGAGAGAGGGGAAGGATCACCTCCCTCAACCTGCTGGCAACACTCCTCCAAATGCAGGCCAGGAAGGGCGAGGGCACATTGTTGGCTCGTGTTCAACTGTGTTTGCCAGGACCTCCAGGTTTATCTTAGAAAAGCTGGTCAGCCCCCAGCATGTACTGGTTCCTGGTGGTGTTCCTCCCCAGGTGCAGGACTTCACACTTCCCCTTGTTGAACTTCACAAGGTTCCTGTCGGCCCAATTCTCCAGCCTGTCAAGGTCCCGCTGGATGGCACCACCATCCTCTGGCATATCAGCCACTCTGCCCCATCATTGGGATCATTAATACATGTTTCATATGGATTGTCTTACAGTGCTGCAGATGTCTACAGAGTAGATATTTCTGTCTAAACTAGCTGTCTGGACTCTCTTCGTAGCAGTAGAAAGGCATGCCCAAAGCATAATCCATTGCAGGTTGCACCCAAGTGCTGTTCATCTCTATCAGTCACAGAGCAACCCTAAATAAGTATCTGAGATGCAGCTGTATAAACTTAAGTGAAATGCATCCAGCTCTTTCTGACCATAGTATTATTTGCTGTGAGACCAAACTGCTGCTCAGCGTGAAATTCTTCCCAAAATCAAAAACATGACTTAATGGCATTAAATTAGTCACATGCCAAGGACATAGTCCAGGAGTAACAAGTCAGTGCCTTGTGGGAGTTGACCTTACAGCCCAGGATGAGTTGTTTTATTAGTATCCAACTGGGGAATTCTGTCTTAGGGGAACTGAGAACAGGCATTAAGGGCTCAGCTTCATCCATATTGTCCCCCATTTTCTTTATCTGCCTTCCCTTAAGGTAGCACAGAGCAAATCACTTGCAAATTAGGAAACAGAAACTTCACAGGGCAGAAAACTAAGACGCAACTGAAGACGCCCTTTTAATGTTTTCCTAATTCTAGTGTGGGCTGAATTACCATTGTTATCATATTGTAAAATGATGAGGTAATAAATAGCCTTATCAGAAATTAACCATCTGGGAGAAAAATACGGAAACATATCCAGAATTTTCCCTATTTTATCTAAAAGTTATCTGCCATATTTGATGCAAAAATATATCTGATAGCTTTCCATATTGAGCAGTGAATAGCAAAGAAAAATTGTCCTAAACAGATCTGTTTCAATGCTGATATTTAGTATCCAAAGTAGCATCAGCAAGAATACAGGACATTCTCCCCTTTTTGAGAGCCATTAAATTCTCCCCTCAGTCAGAAGTTCACATTCTTCTCATGGGCCTTTCTGATTCCCACAGTTTCCTCTCTGGCTACAGGATTATCTGTACCACCTTCTCACATGATGTCCCCTAATCCCCAGTAATTAGAACTCAGCCAAATCCTGAAGTACCAGTTTCATTCCCTCATACAGGCAACCTGAGACACATCGTTGTAACTCACGTGGTTCCTTTGTGAATCTTGCTGCGTTTAAGGCCTCAGCCACATTCTATGGCCATGAATGGATAAATTTAGGAATATTGATTACTATTTGTCCTGATGCTGCACATCAAGACTCTTGTGTAGTTCCTGAACTGCTAATTCTAGAATGACATGAGGTCCAGGCTATTCTCAGAAGATAGCATCCCCTACCCATATTGTCCTTGGAGGCAGTTTGAATTCAGTGCAAGTTTAGACTCTTAACAAATCCTGTCTGCATTTGGGTGTAGTCATCTCTGGAAAGACCATCAGAGCAAATAGACTTCTTAGTAGGATCCAGGAGATATCCCCAGGAGAGCAGGCAGAATAAATGGAAACTATGGGTGTCTGTGCAGCAGCTGACACACACCCCTGAGCAGTTTCCAAAGCTCAGGTCACAGAAGGGTTTTGCTGCTGTCTCTCAGAGCACTCTTTCTAACAAGGAGTGTGAGACTGTGAATTTGTCCCCAATTTTGGCATCTTGTATTGCGGAGTAGAAACAGCCTGGGAAGCCAGCATATGCTAGGCTGCTTTTTCTAAACTGTCATTTCATCACATTTTTCTTCTGTGACTTCCTTTGAAGGCAATGAATTAAATATTTATAAAAGTGGATTACAGATCTCTCAGTCAATAGCAAGAGGAAAAACCTGAACATAAAACTGAATGTAATCAGAGTTGAGTGCTTTTTATTGAGCTGTTGGTTTGTTTGAAAACATACTGTTTCAAACTGTCCAAAGCAGTGTGCTCAACCCGCAGCCACCCAGGCCAAGTGTGGTCAGAACCTATCTCCGTGTCCCTTTTGGAAAAGGTGAAAGAGCTCGATTAACTGCCTCCCTCCATCCTTCTTCCACATGCTGATGCCCAAAGTAGCAATGTGGATCTCCTCGGTCTTACACAGTTGTCTTCAGTCCTTAGGCATCTGTGGTTCGGTGCTGCTTCTCAACCTGTACGGTAATTCCTGATGTTTATCAGGATCACAGCTAGGATTCCACTGAGTCTGAAATCAAAGAGATGGAGAGAATCCATGTAAAAGTGGAAAGGACACTGTGTGCCAAAGGCAAGCGGCTGAAGTAGCAGATGAATGTTTAGCCTGTGGCTCAGCTAGCACTGCTTCTTGTGCAGACTTCGATGTTTGTATTGCTTCTCATTTACATTTTTCCGTAGATGGAAAAGGACATGAGAAGCGACACAGAAGAAAGCGACAAGGATCAAGAAAGAGAAAATATTAAGGAAAAGGAGAAAAATGGGATCACGTATTTCAGCAGCGTCACAAGCAACAATTACATCCAGAGGAATGGGTCTGAGCCACTGAACAACAGAACCCACCTCACCAATGGCCATGTCAAGGAGAGATAGCTACTGTTCCCATGCTTCTCATCTGGTCTTTGATGACTCCAGTCCACCGCCTTTAGAAACAGTTTTGCTCATTGTGTAGATGAAATGGAGTGCAATTGCAGATAGCTGAATTCCTGCTTCCCGTGGGGAGAAGTGTTCATAGTCAGTGTTATTTGAAGGAAGTTTTTGGTCTTTCTTCAATAAAAGCTTACTGTAGGTTGTAGCCTTGAAGCAGATAGAAAGGGATCAAAGTGGTTTGACTTGTATTAGACTGTACCGTAGTTGTTGTTAAATGTGTTAATCTTGAAAAATACTTAAAAAAAATACAAACTCTGGCAATGTCAAGTCTTAACCATCTAATGCTGTTTGGTAGGAATCTGTTTAGCCTTGATTAGCCTCTGGAGGCCCTGGCCTATTGCCACTAATGATTATGGCTAACAAGTCAGTGTGAGACTCTAAATCTTAATACGGGGACACCTCTTGAGAAAACAGGTGCCCCATACACACTCAGAAAATTAAAACTGAACATAGTGGAATAAAAGCTTTGGAAAGACATAGGAGAAAACATGTTCTCAAAAGAAGTGCTGCTGTGTGCCATATGACCAGTTTTGTAATGCTAGGGATCTCAGCCCCTTCTGTTGTCACCATTATTGCCACAAAGGTGGGAACTCCAAAGCCCAGATTGGAGAGAATACCCACCCAACTCATAATTGGAAGAGCTGGAAAATCCAGGCAGCTGTGTCTCAACTGTCAGGTAATCCTTTAAACCTGTCTTGGAAGAAAACACAGTCAGAAGAAGGGAGGTGACAAGAAACTAGATAATCTAGAAGACAACACTGAGTAAGTGCTCATGTTTTCACCTAGTGTGATTGGCACAGTGGGAAATGTTTACAGAGTCAGCTTGTGGCAAGAAGGGAATACATTTCCCCTATCCTCAGAAGAAAAAGGATCCAGAGAAGATCTGCTGAACTTTATGGAATAATGCTTTAACGTGGCTGTCTAACTGTAGGGCTTTTGCCCAGATATATCAAGAGTAGCAAGTTTAAAGCAGTAGTCCATGAAGTCATGATGCAGTTCTAATTAGGTTCATTTAGATGTCCTGTATCTTACATCCTGTGTAGTCTTCGACTTTGGATTCTGTAATCCCTTAAAAGACTCAAATTGGTATGACATGAATTTCTGTTTTATAGATCAGTTAATCTGTGAAACCAAAGTATTAACAGATTCACTGTAACGAGTGCAGGGACTGCCAAGGCCATGCAGACGCTTCCCTATATGTGCCCAGTAAGGGCCAGTGCTAACTGGGGGGTACATGGACCAAGGAAATGCTCAATTTGAGGAGTTGGTGCACATGTTTAAAAGGCAAGTGACAGCACAGAAGGACAAGAGGGTTTTCAGCAATCCACTGAGTTCACCTGAGATGTGACTGAGAGCGCTTTGATCTGACCTTGTGCGTGGTCATCTTAGGTTTCAGTCAAAATACACTGGATAATTGCAGAGCAGAAGTGGTTCCAGCGCAGGTGATTCCAGGGCAGTAACATGCTCTGGGAGGAGAACATCTGTTCCTGCATCGTCATTGAAATTTGTATTTGCTGAAAATAGTCTGTCTCTGAAACCTTGAGCTAATTGGAAGTTCAAAGTACGTGTTCTGTATACTGTCATGTTCCTTTAATCTGAGTCTACAGTCTTGCAACTCCTCTGCGGGTGATGTGTTCAGGCGGGATGGTTCTATATCATTTTGTACTACTGAATGCAAACATTCTTTATAAATTACTTTTGAGAGGTGTGATTCTGTGGGCTCTTTTCTACTTCTTTAACTAGCAGGAGACAACCTGGCTAGTTGCGCTTTATAGGTGGATGTGTGATGAAGGAGACACGTGTGGGTACCATTGCCAAGGCCGGTACGCGTGCAGCGCGTGCGGAGAGGATGTTGCGTACCCAGGACGTGTAGCCGTACTGCGCCGTGCCAGTAGAGAACTGCAGCTGCCTGATTTGTCTCCCACTAGGTAAAGCTGTGCCTGGCCCTGGAACTAGGGGCATTTTGGGGCTCCCCTGCGCTAGCCCTAGGGGCAGGGCAGGGTGCTTGGTACTGCCAGGGCAGTGGCAAGACTAAGACTGCAGCACTGGGGAGATACTTTGGACTTGCAAGGGTACGAGGAGAAAAATTAATGTCTATTCTTCTTTTTCATGAGGTTGTAGAAGTCTAGGAAAGATCCCTGCTGTAAAATCACACCTCTGACCGGAGGAGCAGAATGCTTCCCAGGGTCTGCACGGTGCTCTGTGCAGACATACCATGATGCCTGCTGAATTTCACCCTCAGGGCTCTGCTGTCCCCTGAAGATTGAGATAAGCTCATTAGGAGGCAGACCTAGTTCTTGTGAAAGGATACATCAAGGATTCCGGAGAGCTGTTGGACTCGCTTAAGAACTACCGAGTGCTGCTTTTAGCTGAGGAGCTGAGCATGACAGTGATGAGTCACTGGGGCAGATCAACTGCCAAATTTGTTTACTTGCCATCAACTTGATAAGGCTTAAAGAAGCTCTGTGTGTAACGAACTTCCTCCCCACATCGCTCCACCTTTTCTCCTTACGCCTGCGCCAGTGTTGGGAAGCTTGTGAGTGCTGTGATAGAGCATTTATGAATTTAGTGTATCACCTCCCTCCGTCCCCTCCATGGTAGGGGCATCAGCCCCCAGCACACGGAAGCTGTTGTGGGAAGCCTGCACCAAGCCTGTCACTGCTGAAAAAGCCAGCAGAGCAGATGGAGCGCTGGGCACCACAGCAGAATCTCGGTCTGTTTCCCCGACTCTTTATCACCCCACGTGCACAGGGGAGGTGTGCAGCACGCAGCACGTGCATCACGTAATGTTACCAAGCAGCTGTGGGAGGTGGTGTCCAGCTCCAGGTGAGCTACGAGAGAACATTAACTGGCGCTCCCAGGCTGCTGTGTGGTGGGTGAGGCAAGGACGGGCAAAGCGTGGCCCCCAGGCTGGCATCTGGCAACCCTAGCCCAAAATTACAGCTGACATACATTGGACTCCAGTAGATGTGAACATCTGTTTCGGATCATGTTTTAAGAGCAGTTTGGGACAGTTGTTCCCTTCCCCCTGCACCCACTCGGGAAACATCAGAGGTGATTTTTTCCTGTAGACATGTACACCCAAGGGAAATTTTATTTGGATGGCTTACACTTGCTTTTCTCACTGCACGTGTACAACAGACACAGCGCCTGCAGGTAAGGGCGTCCCTAAGAAACAGCATGGCATTGTTCAAAAAGCTGAAGTCATGTCCAGACAAGGAAAGTGGAAAGGACCTGTAACTTTGGCAGATTAATGTGAACATGCAATAAAGCAGGCCAAGAAATATCTTGAGAAACAACTTGAAAGGCAATACCAATCTCTGAAACATTGGAGAGACGGCAGGAGTTGTAGATAATCGAGGCATATAGCAACAACACTGAGACAAGATCAGGCTAGAGCCAAAAAATTCAATGAGCTGTTTGCATCTGACTTCCCTGCTGAGAAGCTCAAAGGAAGTCCAATATCTGACATCCTGCCGAGGCTGCATCCCAAGAGGATCCATCTCAAGCTGATGGGGATGAAGATGTAATACAGTGAACAGACTGTCTGAATAATGGCGAACCTTCAAATCTGGGTGGCGTTCACTCAAAGCCAAAAAATTCAATGAGCTGTTTGCATCTGACTTCCCTGCTGAGAAGCTCAAAGGAAGTCCAATATCTGACATCCTGCCGAGGCTGCATCCCAAGAGGATCCATCTCAAGCTGATGGGGATGAAGATGTAATACAGCGAACAGACTGAATAATGGCAAACCTGAGCACAGCCTTGATGCTTCATGTGTGTCCCCCCCCCGCCCAAAGTGGCATTCACTCAAGTATCAGGAGGAAACTCGTACTAGAAGGAGTTAAACTACCAGCTGTGGAATGCCATTTTTTGTTTCATATCATCTTGTTACTGGAAAAATTTAAGAAGGTTCCGAGTGGGAATGTGAGGAGCTACAGCCATCTGCAGTCTGACATCAAGTGGTCAGACTGGTAGTGTAATAAATGATGGAATTTGTGAACATAATGTTATAGGAAAGAGTCCCCATGGGCTGTACATGAGAAAAGTACGTCTCACTCTGCTGGAGTCATCCCAGTGAGCGAGCACGTGCGGAGGAGAGAACCTGCTGCCTACTCAGCTTTGCAGAGGCATTTGGAGAGGTCCCTCACCACAGCCTTAAAGAAATCCACCTGAGCTCACCGTGAGAGACAGCTGGGGGTTTTTTGCAGCCACGTATTCTTGCAGGTGCCCCAAAAAGGAGGAGGGAAAGGCAGATAGCAAAATTGGCTGATAATGAAAGTTCCTCATGATGATGATGATGATGCAGACTGACTGCAGGCGGTTGCCGAGGGGTTTACGGCACTGAGGGACCGAGTGATAAAACACAAGCAAGATTGAATACGGAACGTGGTGCGCGTGAGAAAGTCTCCTGAAGTGCTGGGCTGTGTTAACACTTCCGAATAGTTTGGGGCAGTGGTATATCAACTTAGTGCTCCATGTGCAGTGGTTCAAAATGCAAATAGGATGTGGTCTGTTCCTGGGCAAGATGCAGGAACCAAAGCTGAGAGTGTTGGGAGCCCAGAGGGTGCCAGAAGATCTTCATGGCTGTGGCCGGTCTCACCTGGGGCCTCCATCCACACCCTCTGCCAGGCATCAGAGCTGATGAACAGATGAGGGCTTTGCAGCCTGGGAAGGGAAAGGCTGGTAGAAAAAGGGGACAAGAGAGAAGCCCCTGCTGTTACTGTCACCGGGTAGGGACTTCAGTCACCTGTGCAGCAGAGTGTAATTGAAGTTAGCTGCTTTCTTGACGCCCACTAAATTATTTTCTTACACTAAGACATCTTACCCCACCTCCAAGCTCGCAGGCAGGTCAGAACAAGTGATGCTATTTCAACTAGTCTGAAGTCATGGGATTGAGTGAGAGCTGGGAATCCGGAGTTAGGAGGGAGCATTACACCTTGCTGCTACCTGCTTGCTGAGTCCCGGAGCCTCTGCTTTCTGTGCCCCTCGTATTGACCAGGATGGGACTGTCAGAGAGGTTCTGGCACCATGAATACTGGCTGCCACCTGGAGCTAC